ACCCCGCACAACATGATCTACTCGACCACCATTATGGTTACCGCCAAAACAAAAACAGAGGTAAAAAAAAAAAAAGTGGGGGGAGGGAAACAAAATCATGGGCCACTTGAACAGTCTTGAGGTGAAATCTTATTCAATGACTCTTGACGTGTGCGGGTGAAAGCACCGAAAGTTACCTCGGAGTCTGCATTGGTGACGAAATCCAGCGTTGAGGTTTGGGCTGCCGGTTAGGTGTTTCAAGCCCAACAAGGAAGCAACTATGATTCACGGATTCATTTCTACCAGCAAAATATGCCCCTCAATTTAGTCTCGGGATGTTCTTGCGCTTCACGGGATGTCAAATTGTTCTTTCGTACCTGGGTCTTGACAGACATTTCTTCCGGAAAAATCAACTAAAACACTACAGACGTGTACTGGCTAGCGCCAAGGTGGATGGTGCCTGTTGGGCTCATGAAACCGTCAGTCAGGCGTTCCTTCAATCGAATCGCAAACGCTCCAGCCGAGGAAAATACCTTTCTTGTCAAGCAAGATACGGAGGACTCTATCTCGATTTCAACATGTGTGATCTTGCCGCAAAAGACGCGAACTTATCTCCCTGCTCTCTCTACTTGCTTGTCGTTCGCCAATGTCCTCTTCGGTTTGATCGCAATTTCGGCGTATACGACGCACCTAATGCCATCAAGCGGACCGGGTCGATCCCAAGGTGTTTCAGAAGCACGTTCACACCATGTCCCTTTGATGCCCCCGCCGGCAAAACCTCTAGCATGTCCGGGAGAGCCTGGAGATGATCCGCAATAACGAGCACAGGGCACCGACACATTCGCCAAGATAGCTGAGTGCGACGCTGGATGATGCAGGTCGTGTCATGCGATCGAAATCGGCATGCACTTGAAGGACCCGCGTATCGCTGGAGCCGAGTTTCGTTACTTTCTGCAACATCAGTTGTATTCCTGAAAGATTAGCGGTTCGCCCGAGACGAGTGTCCATCATGTGTTGTAATCCTCACGCGACCTACTATAGTACAGTATACTTGCATTGGCAGCAACGGAGGAGTTCGTTATGGATAGTGCGACGTAACAAAGAGTCCTGTATTGATATACATGCGTCGTTTCACAAGATGCACGATTAACGTGGTGCTATCGGACAAATATGACCTCTTCCGAAAGCGTCATGTGCTTACTGCTGCAGTCCACCCATGGCACTGGAACATGCCGCCGTTGCTGCATCGTGGTTTCTCCTTTCCAATGACCACATCGAACATATACCAAACTCTAGTTCTCCCGCACCGCACCTGCGTGAAGGTTGCTCGGTCGCCGATCAACCGTTCGATATCCGGCCGGACTCGATCGATCGCCTCCTTGGAGTCCATGAGAATGAGCTTGTGGACTCGAAGACCGGCAGCCATAGCGTCTGTCAGAGGGCCAACGGCAGACGGCATGGGCTCGGAGTAGAGGGCTATCTTGTCTGTCTCGGCGTCCTTCTCGGAGCACACCTGAAGGTGGGAAAAACACGCTCGCGCGTCAGACAGCCCAGGCGCAGCTTTGACTGTTGCGTAGGCGTACAAAGCCGCGCAGCTCGATCTGCACGTAAGTATGAAATTTCAGTAGAGATGAACATTCGCACGACACCAAAGGAGCGAACACGACCCACTGGTGGGGCAGCGCGGCCTCACGCGCCTGCAAGAATTTGCCCATAACCAAGTTGGTGCTGCAGGAGCTAAGAACGCGGTTCTGACACCAGCAAGCTTACCAATTCGAGCGTGTGGTATCCACTACTGCAAGTAGTAAAGAATATCACATAGTTCGTCACCTCACACACTCACAATTTCGTCGCCGCTGTAAGCAATCAGCGACACTCCCCTTTCCTCGCAGAAACTGGCCACCTGTGAGACAATCTCAATGTCCAGCAGCCGCTCGTACAACACCTCGTCGCCGGCGCCGGAGTACACAACCAAACCTTGAATAAAAACCCCTGGGGTATCCTTCGCCTTCAGATGTGCGGCGATGTCTTCTCCCAAGATCTTGTACATCCCGGTGCGGGTCTGCTCCAAGTTTCGAAGGTGTGGGGTATGGATGGGGTTGGGCAGGGTTGGGCTAGAGTCGAACCGGTTGGCGCACGGTTGACGACCACGGATTTCGGATCGGCCCATGAACGTTTTCACATTTTCTTAATAACTTGAATCTTGGGATGCCCGGTGAATTGCGTGTAGATACCGTGTTGCGGTTTACGGGGCGCGAGGGTGCATATGGTTGATCCAAACATGAACATGCGTCTTACACATGAAACCGATGCCATCAGAAATAGGTGCAGCTCTCCCGGTCGGTCGATTGATCCATGTCAGGGGCAAAACGTCAAAAGCCGCACGGAGATTTTAGATGCGGGATAAATCTGTACCCTGTGCCTATGAACACAAGTGCTACATTGGGGCGGGGTGTCCCTCCTCAAACTGTCTGGCAGGTGGCAGGAGTTGTGTACGTGTCCGTTTTTCAACTACCACACTGCTGTAAATGCTGCTGTAGCATCGGCCGCTGCACATATGTGTGTACCAGATGCACCGCCAGTTGTACAAGTTGACTTGCCTTGCCCGTGGCGGGGAAGAACGCGAGTTCAGAGTCCAGGACCGCCTTGATAGCATCTTTCGTGCGAGGGGTGACAGTCACCTCCGGCGTGGTAAGGGTTCCATCCACGTCGCTCGCAACGGCCTCAACAGTGGCCAACAGCGAGGCAGGTGCGTTCGCTAGCTGTCGTGGCTCACGATTTGAAGAAGCTGCCGCTGATGCTGCTGCTGCTGCTGATGATGATGATGATGCGACCGATTGTGGAGCGTGTCCCCCTGAACCACCCCCCCGCGTTGTCCATCCGAAGGAAGCCGGACGATGGTGCAGGCGGTGGTGGTAGTTCGTCCCGAGTTGGACGCCACGAACTGCCGCTGACGACACTGCTCCGCTGCCCGGCAGCAAGCGGAGACATACGAACCCTTTTACAACCTGCCTGATCATGCCCAAAGCGTGCGGACTTCACCTACTTATGAGCAGAAACGCAAGATACGCTGGAACTGGAAGGAGGAGCGTGTCAGCTCGACGGAAATTGGTTTCAAGGCCTGTCACGTAGTGCGTCTGCTACGCACAAGTTGAACAAGCAGCAGCGGTGCCCTCGACAGGGGGGCTCGGGCGGTGGTGGGCGCCGGGACTGTAGGGAACGTTCCGCGAATCGTTCGTCAACAAATCGGCGTACACTCCGCACTCCGTTTGTAGCTCAGTGTAGTCCGCACGCCCGCAGTCCGCAGTATCGACGTACAATACATGTGGGGCGTGGGGGCGGAGGCTGACTCGCTTCTTCTGCTTCAATTCTCCTTGGTATACTGTTCGGCTGTAGCATTCATTGAAGCACAACGAAATTTTTCTGAAAATCTTGAGCCCGTATTCGGTGTGGCCTTCCTCGAAGAAGGCGATTTTCGTTGTGCGACACTTCTGACCACAATTTTTATCCCTGGGAGCACTTTTCGGCTACACATTTAATTGGTACCCATTGTCGTCTAGTCTGTCGTTCCAAATTTACAAATGGAATCGACCCAATGCCTAAAGTGGTAATATTGGTCAAGAGAGAAGTTTCCGTCAAGATTTCGACGGCTTAGTTACAACTCCCAAATTTGCCTCCCCGGGAATCCCTGCCGGTCGGACCCCTGGCGGAGGGGCGCACATCGCCTGTGCGGTACTTCCGACCCTGCTCCGCGGGCCCCGCCTGACTGTTGTCGTGTCTCCAGAGACGCCCTTTGTTTTACACGCCTGTGTCAATGGCATTCGTTCATAGAGCGGCACCACTGCATAGTGACATAGTGACACACGCTTGGGGCGGGTCCCGACTCACACCGACCATCTCGTGAAATCCCCGGACGAGCACAAGAGAATCTGAACACGACCGCTGACTGGTGGTCTAGCGGTCATCGTGCTTTTCAACACGAAGGAATATGTGGTGTTCTTGCGTAGGCCCTCTGCTTGTAGTATACTCTCTCGGGCCCTGAAAGCACAAATTAGGAAACCTTCTGGAGGTGAAGCAAGCTGACTCATTTGACATGAATCTCATCGTTCATGTGCTAACAAACATCGATAGCCGTGGGCACCCCCCAGCAATGAGCTGTCCTCCTCGGTGCGACTAACACCACTCAAGACCGAGATGCACATTAGATTGGCATGTGCTGTTTACAAAACCTCCATCTACCCCACCAAAACCTGTTCATTTACGAAGCCTTACTTGGGCTCCAAGCATCGACGGTACAGACACTGAAGCCGCCCCCTCCGAGCAAGCACGGCGAGATTCCCACCAAGAATTGGCATGAAACATAGTCGCTATGAGCTCCACCGTGAGCCTAATCTCTCCCCCAATCGCACTACACATATGACATCAATGCTTCATGAACCCGACCTGGGGCCAATGGGGAAGGAGCAACACCTCGGCCGAAGCCAGCGGGAGGAGCTCTATAAACGCTCGTGCTATTGCTCGTCCAAATGCTCGTTCAAGTAGTCAGCTATGGAGTCCACCTTCCACCGCTTGATGCTGTGCAACAGGTTTCACGAGGGGGAAAGGGGGATGAAACAAGGGGCAAGGGACAAACAGAGGGTCAACAGGGTTATGCACGGCCACCGGACGGAAGCTGCGGTGTTCTTCTAACAAAGAGAAGTTGATGTCTTTCGGAAGGTCACGCAGTTTTCTGATTGGCAATCACTAAACTAGAGTTGAAATACTTCAAGTGCACATGAATCCAAAAGTAAAACATCAGCAAGATTACACGCCCTGGGGCTAAGGATATAGGCGGTGAGGAGGTGGCACATCTCTGCACCACTCACGAGCAATGATTTCGAGCAACGCCCGGCCGACACTAGAGGCAAATCGACGTCAGGACAAATCCTCCCGAAAGATTTGCGTGGTGCTTGGTGCCCTGTAGGCAGCTGTTGAGAATGGCCCACACTAGGCGGTCATTTTTCGCAACACGGCACGACCACTGCGTCTCTGGAGCAGTCACAACTATACGCGAGCCGCCGACACGGTATGGGTTAGAAAAATGACGGGAGCGAGCTCACTTGATAACGTCGACGTCATCCGCATCCGCTCCTTCCTCCGACATGAGCAACACGGTCTTCGCGTACAGAGTTGGCTGTTTGAAGGCAGGGGGGGGGTGACGGGCGGCGGAGCGACGGCGGGGGCGACGACGGAAAGGCGGCGCAAGCAATTCGTCCAAGTTTTGGGCATGGAAACTCTCACAATCAAGTCCAGAGGGCGATGGTAGGACGAGGATCCTATGCACCCTGCTGCCGAGCGAATGAAAGCACCGAGCCACGGTTCTCACCGGAACGCGTGCAGACCAAAATGGTGGTGTACCAACCGCCTTGAGCCGCCTTACAAAAGTTCCATAAACGCGAAATCTATGTTCCACTGGCCCTGGTGGTCAGAGCAAAAACAGCATCACGGCTCGCACACGTGTGCGTTGCAGATACCGCACATGGGGGCATGGTCAGCCCAACGCCCCAACAACAAGACCGAGTTCGACCTGAACTAAGATGTCCTCAAAACACGTTGCTAGTGTAGTTCAGGGAGCCTCGGTAATCTACGACTCCGATCGATCGCTATGAGGTGATCATGGCTTGTTCCAAACGGAAAACACTGCTGGATGCTTGGAAAGGCAAACATACATGAGTGGCAGCATACCTCGAGCTCCAGAGCGGGGTGATCCGTGGCTCTGTCGTTGACAAAACCTCGAAGCTCAGGGTCGGCGCTAAGCCATCTTGGATCGTACACCAACTTCGCCGAGGCGTACTGAAGAGGGCGGGGCGGAGAGGGGTGCGAGTCGTGTGAGAGCCGCTGATGCAGCAAAGTGAGGACGTGAAAAGTCTCTGGGCGTTGGTCGTACCTAGAGCTGTGAGTGCGTTGAGTCTACTGTAGCCAGAACTTGTGGCGTATTCTGAAGACTGTAGTTGGGCGGACTTCGACACTTTCGAACCCCATGAGATATCAATGGGTCAGGCTTGTCGGGTTTCAAGGGCCTCACCTTTTTCGAAGAGCTTTTCGCCTCCTGGCAGCATTGCAGACACTCATCTGTTAGACCTGTTGCCGTGGTTAGGAACGGGATTAGCGAGGGATGTTTGGACACGAAGTAGCACACGTGCCTGTGGGTGGACTAATCTGAACACAACTAACCACCGTGGTATCGCACCGAAGTCAACAACGCTGTAGTCACCACGCTGCGTATGTCATTCTTGGACGGCTGGTGGAACTGCTAAACATCCTCGGGTGCACCTAGTCGGCTTGCCCGCGTGTGTACGCCTGTATCCGCAGCCGCAGAATAGTGAATAACTGCAGTTCGTCTAGCCTACGGACTCTTGAGGGTTAGGGTATTAGTGTAGGTCGACGGACTCTAAATGTAATGCTAGCAACACTGGGTAATTCTCAATTCTCGCGGGAGCATCATCTTTAGACTCATAGTGCCCCATTTTATCAGAAACCTGCTGTGAACGAGCTCTCTCTCTCTCTCTCTCTCTCTCTCTCTCTCTCTCTCTCTCTCT